CTTTATATGTCAAACCCATAAAATTATATGGGTTATTAAATTCAACATGAACCATTTATTACATTAATTTAACCATTATTATTATTATTAATTTATTTTAGTATTTAATTTAAAATTTTTGTTATATAGTAATAATAATAACCAAATTTGTAATTATTTAAATATTTATTTAAAATATTTTTTTCCAACCGAGTATAATTATTATATAATAGATTTGCTAATTCATATTTTGCATTTAAGAAAAAACATTAATGATTTGGCTTAACAATTTTAATGACTATTAATAAATATTGATTCTTATTGAAGGTTTAATTGTGTTCGGTAATTATTACGGGGCATGCTTTGAATAAACATTAATGATAACTGATGATTGTTATTTCGTTTTTTATTATTTACTTAATTAAGTACTTGATGATTGTTATTATTATTTACTTAATCCAGTAATTTTCAGCAAGTCATTACTTGATTTAATTTGAATTATTTCATTTTTTAATTATTTATAATAGACATTTAGGGTAGGCTCTTTATTTGATTTAAGAGACTTACAATGTTTTATTTAGACAATGACCTCATACTAAGTAAGGGGCAACTATAGTATTATTTAATTTGAAATTTACTATTTAACAATAAAAAATCAATGTCCTATTGAGCAACCCACCCCCAAAAAAGTATCAATAACTTTGAAATCATTAATCTATTTATAAAATAGTAAAATTAGATGGATGTTTACAACAATATCACCAATACTACTTAATATTTAGGGACATATGAATGGATTAAAAACATTTAAATGATATCTATTCAAAGAGGCAAAGAAGGAAGAAAATCATTCAAAGAGATCTGCTAAGAAAAGTAATCCATGCCAAACAACATTTGTAGATGTATCCATCATATGAAGTAAGAGATGAAAAATATATAACTACAATCAAATCATTATCATGCATGGCTACAATCAACTGATAATATAATCAAGACTCCAAAGCCCGTCCAACAGAGGAAACATGAAAGAAAGGAGAATAATGGGACCATCCTGAGTATGGAAGTTACCTCCAAATTAGGTGGCAACACTTCTTTTGGTCAATCATGGTTATGGATTTTAAGTCTAAGCTCCCTACGGTGAATGTACATTGGCTAGAATTTATTTTTAGGAAAAAAGGTAGGGAAACCTGTACATAACCTAATGGTATGTTTGAATTATGGGAATTGGGAGATAGAAATAGGAAATGTAGGTTGACATTATAATTTTGGGCATGCCGATGTGTCAAATTCAAGTCAATTAGAATACTCATAGTTTTTAGTTCATTCATTTAGTGGTAATTTGATTTTTTTTATTCCATGTCTTTATTCAGTAATATAGATTAATAATTATGGAATTAGTAATAATAATAATAAGTATATTATTATTACTATTATTTACTAATATTATATTCTTATTATGTGTGTATTGATTTTGGATTAAGTAATATTATATTATTATTATTATTTATTTTTATTATGAAGTAATTAATTTGTTATAATTACGATTTTTAGTTAATTCCTGAAATAGTATTTGCTTTTATAATTCTTTTAGTTTAACAATAATGAATAATTGAAAGTTTATAATTTAACTTTCACTAAATGAAATATTTATTGGACAATAATTATAGTATTAATTATAATAATAATAATAATAATGTAAATAAGTAACACTAATTATATATTTATAAAATAACTAATATGAGTTAATATAAATATAAAATGATTATATCCCAATTAATAATTAACATTATTAAAATACTTATTAGTTACCATTAATTAATTAGCATTCCGAAGTAATAATTAACATTGTTATAATTAAGGAATTAATTATCAATAAGTAATTATAATTAGTAATTATTTTTTATCATAAATCATTATTATTAGTAATATTTAATTATAATTATTGATAATAATAATAATATAATTAATTATTTCATATATATGTATGAATTATAATTTCTGTTAATAATTCTAATATAAATAATTAACATTAAATATTTATTTTCAAAATAATTAATATGAGTTAATATAAATAAAAAAATATTATTTCTGGATTGTTAATTACCATAATGAAATTCATTATTAATTATCATTCCGAATTAATAATGAGAAATATTATTAGTAATTAGTTAATATCAATAATTATTATAAGAAATTATCATCAACGAGTTATTATTATTAGTAATTAATAGCTGAAATTAATTAACTGGAAGTCATTAATTATTATTAGCACCCCTCTCTTTCAAAAAGTCTTATCATCATCGTCATCATCAATGACAACAACTTGATAAATACATAATTTGATAAAAATAGGTAAATATCATTAATTTATCTATTGGAAAACTGAATAAGAGAAAAATAAAATGGTTAGCATTGCAAATGAAAAATTATTTGGATTTTTACAAAAATAAGGTCATTAAATCAAAGAGTAATTAAAATTATTCAGTAAATAATAATTTTAAGAAATTAAAATTAGTAATTAGTTATCTATCCAAATTAAAATGGGTAATTTTTGCAAATAATTTTAAGTAATTATATTTTGCTATTAACATTTTGTTTCATAATAATCAGTATTATTAATAGATTAATAATATATTAATAATATATTAATAATTATGGAATTAGTAATAATAATAAGTATATTATTATTATTAACTAATAATATATTCTTATTATGTGTGTATTGGTTTTGGAATCAGTAATATTAAAGTATTATTATTATTACTACTATTATTATTATTATTATTATTATTTTATTTTTATTTTTATTGAGTAATTAATTTGTGATAATTACAAATTTTAGTTAATTCATAAAATAATATTTTCTTTTATATTTCTTTAAGTTTAGCAATATTGAATAGTTGAAAGTTTTATAATAATAATGTAAATAAGTAACACTAATTGTACATTTATAAAATATTTAATATGAATTAATATTAATATAAAATGATTATATCCCAATTAAAAGTTAACATTATTAAAATGCTTATTAATTATCATTAATTAATTAACATTCCAAAGTAATAATTATCATCATTAGTATTAGTAATAATTAATTATATTTATTGATAATAATAATAATATTATTAATTATAATTACTTATAATAATATAATTAATTATTTCATATAAATGTATCAATTATAATTTTTATAATAATTATAATACAAATAATTAACATTAAATATTTATTTTCAAAATAATTAATGTGTTAATATAAATATAAAATGATTATTTCCGAATTATTAAATACCATTCTGAAAATATTTATTAATTATCATTTCGAATTAATAATGAGCAATATTGTGAGTAATAAATTATCAATAGTTAAGTATTAGCAGTAATTATTACAATAAATTATTTTCTGAATTAATAATGAGCAATATTATTGCTAATTTATTATTATCAGCAATTAAGTAATAGCAGTAATTATTATAAGAAATTATTTTCAGTAATTAATTATTATAAGTGAGTAATTATTATAAGTGGGCTCTTTTCTTGAACTACCACTAATTAGTATTTGACACACATCTAATGGGCTTTGTTCTTGAACTACCATTAATTAGAATTTGACATGTGTCCATTTTGTTTAAATCTTTTGAATGACAGGTGTCTGAATGCAGATGGGCCACATGTTGACTCTTAGGGGTTTTGGCCTAAAATCATTCATTTAATATAATTATTATTAATAATTGTTTATATGTAAGAGTGAAGTGAGGGCTAAAATTATCATTTATGTTAATATAAGCACTTGTGGGGAAAAGTAACTCAGCAAACATCCCCACCCCAATAAGGAACGGGATCTACTCCTCACATTACGACGCCGAATGCCTCAGATCCACATCCACCATGCATTGGGGACATCTCCCATGAATAATAACATATAAGTGCGGGAAATGTTCCCAATGAATGATACAATGTGCGTGTAAGGCACGTGTGAGAAGCAGATCCAATCTTCCCCCAATAAGTGCTTTAAAACACAATAAGTAATTTGATAAATGAGTCACTAAATGGCATTTAAGTGGTTGTTAAAATAAACACTTGTACAACATTCACTTTTAATCACCAAGTGCTACTTATTTTAAGAACTACTTTTAATCACCAAACATAACCTTAATCCTCCTCCGAAAGATGTATACGTGCAGCACCCAATCAATTTCACTAATTCATGAGTCTCTTCTCTTGTGATCATTTCTCCGAAAGGATAATGATTGAAAACCAAGAATATGCGCCACGTATACAGGATAAGAAAGAGTCTTTAAGACGCTAAACTCGAACATATTACGTACATGAGTCGAGATCTACTGTTCAAAACTATACTCAAAAACCTACCTACAAAACACTGCATCCGCACATCGGGAACATCTTATTGATCGGTGGTTGTTGCATATTTGTGGATGGCAGATCCGAGCTCATTACGTACATATTTTTTTATTTTAAGTTTAAGATATGACATATGACCGACTTACGAGGGAGCGATAAGTGGAGACGACCGCGGACAAACCATTCGACTGGAGGGCCCTATGCCCCCATCTAGAAAACAAACATATCCAGATAAATGCAAACCAACCAACCCAACTAATCAGATTCCATTTATTCCGTTAGCACATGAAGACGTGTATTTGTGCTAAAAACTGAATATCAATTATCAACGCACCAGCAACCGAATAGACGTTTCTACGATCTACTAATAGTTAGTAAGGGCCAAGCCGAGATCGACTTCAGTACTCCCACGATTCTTGTATTCATACCGTTCGCACAGCCTTTTCACAGCCGTGCATTGAGAATATTTCTATTTGTACTGTGCGAACGGTATGCACGCCATATTCGATTTCGGCCAAGCCTCGTCTCCCGTCCTACTAGGCCTATGCGTCAGCTTTTTATCTTTCCATTATCCGAAGATTAAAAGCAAATTTACGGGAAAATAAATAATAAAAGTAAATATATATAGGTTGGTTTATTTATATTTATTAGAAGAAAAATACAAAAGGCCATCATCTCTTTCGTTTCCCTCTTCACTTATCGTTTCTCCTCCCAGTCTCGGTCTAGGCAATCTCCACCAATTTAGCAGAACATCAACCCTAAATTCATCTTTAAATTTCGCAGGTATTTTGTCGGTGAACCACTGGAATAGAATTTCTAAGATTCCGGATTAAGGAACAGAAGAAGAAATTTGCTAATCTGTACACTGCAGAGCTTCGTAGTTTCAATCCACCTGGAAATTTTATTGTATACTAATGAAGGATAAATGGGACCTCTGCCGATGAGATTCATCGTCTGCGATGGAGTTTATTCGGATTTTGAGACGGTATTCTTAGGGTTTTGCAATTTCATAGCCGAATTGCTGTTCTGCTTATTTAACAGATCTCTTTCGTTTGCTGACAAGAAGGATACTGTTTTGAGTTTCTAGGTTTTTTTTTCCTTGATTGGAGGACCAAAATCTTTAGTCTCTCTTCTATCTAGTCTGCTCTTTACGGACGAAGATCTGTTTATGTTTAACCAATGGAGATTTTGATTGTTTTATTTACTTAATCGTCTTCCGCTCCTAAGGTTTGAGTCTAAAATTGCTTTATCTAGTTTCCTTTTTTTCAGTAATGGTGTCTGGTTCCGGTAATGATCCTGTAGAATCCTTCATTAATTCCTTTAACGCGATTAAAGAAGCTCTTTCTCCACTTGAATCCGGAATTCGACAAGCCGCGAAAGATCTTGAGTCCTGCTGGGCGGTTCCGACAACTGGTCTTAATAGTCTCGAACTGTTCCCTCAGTTGAATGTTTCTCACGAGAACAATAGGACTCCGAGTTTCTCTCTGAGGAGGAAACAGTCAGAAGATGCTGTTGTTGAGGAGGAAAGTTTGTCTATAAGGGTTCCTATCAAGACGTTCTTCGGAACCTTCTTTCCGCAATCTGGTAAAAATGGCCCTAGGATTGACTTGTCAAAAAAAGGGTCTAAGGAGAAAGTCTTAGCTAAAGAGGAGGCTTCTCGTGTGAATTGCTTGCACCTTGCGCTGTCATGGTCTCTTCTGTGTAACGGTTTCGTCCAGTCATTTCCAAGTCCATTCAAGGCTGGGAGGAAGCGCGAGCAAAAACAGTTTGCCCAAGAAAACACCTACTCGAGTTCGTGCACGCAATTATTCTCTGTGGTTTCATCTAAGCTGAAACAGAATGGAAGCGGTGGCCTATTTGATGCACCATTTCGAAACAAATGCACGACATCTAAGGAAGGAGAAAATCTGTGGTTGGAAATCCTTCTTGGTCTTATATTTGAGAGTTTGACTCAAAATCTTAAGAACTTCGATCTGGGTACCCAAGAGAGCTGTCATAAGAGTTGTTATCAAATAAAATCCTCGTCTTTTTCTCCCCCCTTTGATCATTTGGGGGCAATTACAAGTTTACTGAAAGGAAGAAAAGCTGAAGTTGATGGTTTTCTGGGAAATCTGAAGTTTGCAAGGGTGGGTGGTGTGCCTCCAAGTCTGGTTGGAGTAGCTTCTGTTAAGGGAGAGGGTGAAGATGGTGTCTCCACTGGAAATAGGGAAGAAACAGAGAGCAATTCACCTCAGAAGATTGCAAATGGACTGCTAAATATTCCGTTATCAAATGTTGAGCGCTTGCGGTCAACACTATCCACTGTTTCATTGACAGAACTGATTGAACTTGTACCCCAGTTGGGAAGGTCATCTAAAGACTACCCTGACAAGAAGAAGTTATTCTCTGTCCAGGATTTCTTCAGGTACACGGAGGCAGAAGGTATGTGACTCAAACGATCACAAAGTTAAAACTAGATATTGCATCTTTTTTCTTTGATAATTTTTTTTGCTACAAGTACTTGTTTTTTTTTTTTTTGATAATTAACTAGATATTGCATCTTTATGTGCCAATTACAGTCATGCTATATCAATTTAATTGCTTTAAACATAATAGAATAAACAATGATCTCTGTGTGCAATGCATGGATTTGGTGCAATCCCTTGAGAGAAGTATGTGAAGTTGAAACCTTATTCCAACATCTATCATAGTAATATTACTTAGCAAAACCTTACTCCAACAATATGGGGCTATTATAATAAAGTTACTAAAACTTTATTAGAAGGGAAATTGAAGCCGGATATGATAGGACAATGGGGAAATGAAGGACAGCTATAATACCACAATATGCAAGGGAATACAAAAGATTCTTGGTGGTCTTAATGGAGGCACTGGAACCTTTAGATGCGTGAATGAGACACAAGGCATACACATGAATGTATCCCAAGTTGTTAGTCATGTGACTCATACTTATACGTGTGAAATGTGAACCTCAGGATTGAGTCTTGAGGCTAAACTCGTGCCAAGCCTAGAGGTTTAAGCCTCAAATACTGTTTAAAATAATCTCTCCAGTTCATCATAGCCAAAGGACGAAGCCAACCAACCTTTATAGTCAAATGAGCAACTCAGTCTGAAGTGAGTTTCCATTACCAATAGGAAACAAATATATTGTCATAGTTTTTTGATTGGTAATTTGTTGTCATAGATTTTTTTCGATTGGTAATATGTTGTCATAGCTTGACCTTTATGGTTTCTAAAAGCAAGCCATCACACACACACACACGTGTATTGAAAAGCATCATTCTATATATTAACTGCCCACAACGGAAGAAGCCACTAAACCATTTACAACACCCTTATCTTTTATTTGTAAATTGCAAGACTTTTCAATATTATATATGTTACATGGATACTGGTACAAGTGTCAGAATCTGACATATGTATAAGGTGTCGGATTCGACAAGCCCAAAAAATAGGATTCAAGGGCTTGGTTGCTATACTTTACTTTCAAGTTACACTTTTTAATGATGTATCCTTTATGTTAGACAAATAATGGGATAATTGCCAAAAAAAGTACCAAATATGGATGCATAAATCAATGCAAACAACACTAAGCAAACAAAGATTGATTGTACTAAATTAAAGTACCTTGAGTCACACATATTATTGATGTCACAAAAAGAAGAGTCTTTTTTTGAAGATAAAATAAAATTTATTAAAGAAAAAAGAGAGGAATACAAGAAATGTGACAAGTAGTCACCCGAAAGAAGAGCACTTCAAAATCCCAAAACGATCTGACCCAAACCAGCATACACTGAACCTGCAGACACCTAACTGACACCTTAAATGAACAAACAAAGAAGAAACCCAAGACTTTGAAACCAGCCCCCCTTAAATGTCATCAACCTATTTCTCAAAAAAGAAAAAGAAAAAAAAATGCCCACCCAAACCAAAAAATGAAAATGAAACTCCCCAAATGCTCCACACCTGAACCACAGACAACTCTCAACCCCCCCCCCCCCAACCCCCTAAACTGAACACAATCAAGACCACTTGGCTCTTGAAGGTCTGGCTCCTGCAGACTTGCTTCTTGTTGAAAATTTTGATTTTTTTTCACTTTTTTGACAGGCCCCACACCAAACACACTTACTCTCAATCTTGCAAAAGCTTTTGAAATCGGGAAATTTTGCTGACATCTTAACCTCCTATATTGCTTTCCAACAATAACGTTCTTCTCAAGGTCATTAGCTTCTAAGGCACTCTCATAACTTCTCTTGAATTGCAGCACCACATTCTTTTCAAAGGTTTTGAATTCTACTCCCTCCACACCTTCTCCAACAGCCACCCCATCAAGTCCTGGCATCCTTAACTTGATACAGATCTCCTCTACCCCATCATTGAACCCCTTCCCATCATAGGACACTTCCTTTTCCATTCTCTCCTTCCAACTCTTTAAAAGTCTTCCTAGTCTTCCTTAGGTGTCAACACCTACATTTCTCTAACTCCCATTATGAATCAGTGCTTTCAACCCGTTTTTGACTTGGGCAATTGAACTGATTAACTGAATAAGTGTTGGGGTCTCTGGTTTTTTATGATTTTGATCATTTTGCTCACCTGATTGAACCACTAAACCTGCCAACCAACCAGCTTTTCCAGGTCAAAATATGGGCCTCTGAAGTATCCATGTAATGTAGCATATAACAGTGTGCAGATATGAAGTTTGGTTTATGACCATTGATGCCTAAGAGGTCTAGATATGGATTGGGGAACCAGCTATAAATGAGCATAAATCATGGGGTAAGTAGTGTTTGCTAGCCTACAAAAAGGGCTGCCTCCCTGCCTTACCTATTGTAATTGTAAATTATTCTTTTAAACCCATAAATAAAATTCTTGGTTGTTATTGATCAAAAAAGGAGGCCTAGATATGGATACTGATACATATGCAGATATGGGAAGTGGGGAACTGGGAATACAACTATTTGTTTCCTGAAATCCAGGTAATTGATATGGATACAAGTAACCTATTTAATGGTAATTGATATGTCTTTATAATTATTTTTCTACAATATCTTGAAAACTGGACCAGTTCAGCTAGTACGAAAACCTTCCAGATAATTTGAAAACCATATTGGTTTAACCACTGGTTGAACCAGAAAACCATATTATCCAGTTTTCAAAATATTGATTTTTAAGCTAAATATCAATTCACAATTTTATGTCATCACATTTAATAGAACTTTTAACATCTAAACTAGGGGTGATCATGGGCAACAATGGGCCGGGCTTAGCACCTATTGTAAAGGCTATATAGCCTGAGCCAAGGCCTAATATGTTCCATCAGTACATATCATGTCCAACGTGGATACACTAAGCATGCTCAAGTATTTCGGTATCATAGAACATTGATTGTCCAGTTATTTATTGGGATCTTTATCTTTGTCTACTTTTCCATTTGTTGAATTTTTAACATGTTTTAGGAGGTTAAGAGATTGTAATAGACTACTGGTTCTTCTCATATTTTTGCTTTTATTCTTCTCCACGAGTTGTCTCTTTAGGTTAACCTCAGGTCCTCGTGTGCTTACAGGAAGACGGTTTTTTGAGGAACTGGACAGGGATGGAGATGGCCAGGTAACACTGGAAGATCTTGAAATTGCAATGAGAAAGAGAAGATTACCACGGAGGTATGCTCGGGAGTTTATGTACCGAACCAGAAGTCACATATTCTCAAAATCATTCGGGTGGAAACAGTTTTTATCCTTGATGGAACAGAAGGAACCTACCATTCTTCGAGCTTACAACACACTATGTTTAAGCAAGTCTGGTACTCTGCAAAAGAGTCAAATCTTGACATCCCTTAAAAGTGCAGGACTTCCGGCCAATGAAGACAATGCCATTGCCATGATGCGCTTTTTAAATGCTGATAGTGAAGGATCTATTTCTTATGGTCATTTCCGCAATTTTATGCTTCTACTCCCTTCTGATCGACTTGAAGATGATCCTCGGTAAGATATTGAATATGTTACTATGAGTAATTACTTATTAGAGAATAGAATTATTAAAATTGACTTCTGTTCAAGTAAGATGGGTTTGGCCCTTTGGGTGCTCATGAAGTGCTCAGTAGTATTCAGTTTGTGTTTGGATAAACATTAAATTATCTATCCTGTTTTTGAGATATTCAACAAACCCAACAAAGCCTTGTGCCAACTATCATGAATTCTCTAAGCAATGGCTTGAGCATGTCAATGCTCACAGTTGGATCTTTCTTTGCATGGGTGCTTAACCACACTGTAATGAATGCCCTCCTGTATTTTAGATGCATTTTGAACTGAATCATTCTCATTTATTTTTTGGCATGTTCGTTGAACAAAATTCATTATATGCAAAAGTAGCAGCAGGGATTACTAGTAGAATATGATAGCGTATGTCTTGGAGAATTGAGATTATATCTTAATATACATAAGGATGTTTATTATGTGAATGGAAAGCCATTTAGGTACTCATACACCTGCATGCACACGGAAAATATATTTCAATATTCATTCTCCATTAGGCATACTGAGTACAATAAAATATGGGACTTGTAAACCATTGGAAACTTCCATTCTCTTCTTTTCTTTATCCGTTTTGAACCCTTATTATTATTGTTCCATACATTACTAATATCGGGAAAATGTACATGTACTGATTATGTGTTTATGGTTGCCATTCTCTTGGAACTATTCGCTTTTGCTAGGTAAGAACTTACAGATAACAATTTTGGTAAAGTGGTCACATGAGTTAGTTTTAAGATCTGATATTTTTCTGTTTCTTATTTCCCAGTACCGTATAGATGGCTGAAGAAGATGCACTTTTCTTTATGAGATATTTAACATTAATAGCAAGTCATATTTCACAACAGATTTTTCTATTGAGAGTTGTTATTTTCTTTTCATATTATCTACAGAAGTATATGGTTTGAAGCTGCGACTGTTGTTGCTGTTGCACCACCTGTGGAAATACCTGCTGGAAGTGTATTAAAATCTGCTTTGGCAGGGGGCCTTGCATGTGCACTTTCTACCTCACTAATGCATCCTATCGATACGATAAAGGCAAATTCTTTGGCTATTAGCTACTTCTATATTTTCTTTTCTTTTTTTTTTTTTGGTAGGGGTGAGGACCTGGTCAAAGTCATCTTATAGTAGGTAAAAACATTTTCATAGTTAATCAATAAAAGAAAAAACATTTTCATAGTTGCTTGTTAATATAAGCAGCTAACTTTTCATTTACACAGTTTAGTATTTCTACTATATCTAGAAATATATTCATTTATAGACAAGTTTTTGATAACCTATTAAACTGGATCTATCCTCAAAACTGTTAGTTATTAATTTCTCAGACTTTCTTTCAAAGGTATTTCCTATCATCCTTCATCCATGACACTTGAGTTTAGATTTTGGTTCACAAAGATGATGTAGGGAGGCAGACTAGATGGAGTTGAGATCTGCTATAAACATTTAATATCATGGGAAGGGCACTTGGTAGACCATAATTTTGGGACACTTTAGTAGCTGGATCTTGAAGTAAAAATGGGCTGACATATGGATATTATATGAAAACATCAAAGTTTTCATTGTTTTATGGGAGGAGATATATGCCAATTCTTTTCTGAAGATCTTTTAAGATTGCAAAATTATCAGTTATGCTGGCTGCTTAAAACCAAATGCTAAATGTGATCACTGAGGAAAACCAATCCAAAAGGTAGGATTGTAAATGGACCAGATATTGGTCCAATCCGATCAGTTCCAGTATGAGTCCATTATGGATGGACTAGGTCCAATGACCAATCCAATCTGATGAAAACTTTGAACCATTCTGGACTGGTCCAATTCAATGCCTGGACCATCCAAACTATCTGAATTAGTTTTAATTTAGATTGGGTCCAACCCAAACCTGGTCCATGGTCCATTGACACCTCTGCTGTGGACGGACCGTACATTGGTTGAATCCAACCCACTCCAATATAAATCCATTACAAACAGACCAGGTCCAATCTAACAAATAATTTGGACCATTAAGTCTGGACTGGTCCAATTCAAGATGTCTTATTGGTCTGCCCAATCTGTTAAAATTGAATTTGTTTCAGACAGGGTAGGGTCCAACCCAAACCTGATCCATTGACCCCCCTACCAAAAGGTAGGAGGTTTTTAGGGATGGCAAGAAATTTCAATATTCTAGTTCTGAAGAATCAAGTAGAATTACTTGTATCAAGATTTGGTTTCCTGGTTACTCACTTTGTTCTTCTCTCAAAGTTTTTTTTTTTTTTTTTTGCAAACTAGGGGAAAACATTTTTATCAATAACCATGTGCTTGCATTAATTATGAAGAGGAGAAATCCTGCATCCTGAACCAGATACAGAGAAGACAATACAAACAGTGCAAGCTACAACTTGCATTATTTGGGTACAATGAGAAAAAACCATTGCATTACATCAATACCCAGACCTGGTATTCCCTACATAAGATTGTCCTTATTTACCCCTATTCTTCCAAGGACATCTGCTATTGTATTAGCTGATCTAGGTTTCCATCTGAATGAGAAATTCAGATTAGATGCCAAGAACATAGCTTCTCTGATTACCTGCTGGAGTACTAAAGAATCTTATGTTTTGTTTTTTCAACCAACTTTGGACTACTTGGCAGTTTCCTTCCACAACCAAATTATAATTCATACCTTCCCAAATTATGGCCAGTGCATTATCATTTTTTTTGTTGTTTTCATATTCCAGAAACTCCTTGGACATGTAATCCACCGATTACCATACCCCTGATCCTATATTTCTTTAAAAGACATGTTGAGCAAATTAAAAGGGCTGAGAATGAGGAATTTCTGTCTTTGATCCTATTCCCTATCCATGTGAAATGAAAAAAAAAAAATTGTTAAAGCATATAATTAAAAACTAGCATTTGGAAGTGGTGGTATTTCTTGAGGGGTAATATATTGATATTACTATCACTAAATTCATTGTAGTTTTTTCTGAATATTATAAAAACGAGCTTTTGGTATTGGTTTCACTCCCATAACACTTTCTTGGTTTTTCAGACTCGAGTACAAGCATCAACACTCTCATTCCCGGAACTTGTGTCAAAGCTTCCTCAAATTGGAGTACAGGGACTATATAGGGGATCTGTTCCAGCAATTCTTGGTCAATTTTCAAGGTTAGCTTTGTTCTATGTGCAATCTCATTCTTGTTCATGTTTAAATATTTATTTATATTAGTTTCATTTGATGATAGCCATGGGTTGAGGACTGGAATTTTTGAAGCAAGCAAACTTGTACTTGTAAATGTTGCTCCAACACTTCCAGAAATTCAGGTAATGGTTATTAGTAGAATTTTTTATAAGGTGCAATCTATAGCATCCTAAGAAACTTGATATATATGATTATTAGGTGCAATCTATAGCATCCTTCTGCAGCACAATCTTGGGAACAGCTGTGCGGATACCCTGTGAGGTACTGAAGCAGCGTTTGCAAGCTGGCATTTTTGACAATGTGGGAGAGGCTATTGTTGGTACAATGCGCCAAGATGGCCTCAAGGGTTTCTTTCGTGGAACTGGTGCTACACTCTGCCGTGAAGTTCCTTTCTATGTTGCTGGCATGGGTCTCTATGCTGAATCCAAAAAGGTATGAAGTTTGCACAAATCTAGACAACTAGTACCATGCTCAGGATGTCACCTCTGCTTCAGGAACATGGTTTAAAATGGCAAGACTGTTTGTTATTGGACGCATGAATAGTATTTGACTTCTCAACGCAAAGGCTGCATGCTAATTGGTGCAAGTCTATTAGGGTGGTGGTGAACTTTGGGACCTGTCTGCATTACATTTATAGAAAGAAGTATGACTACTTCAAGTGGGTTATCAATCCCATGAATAAGGAGCTTATCATTGACACATGTTGAGTACTCCATGAAATTTGTTATCGTGTGTACATGCACACACAATAGTCAGACTTTGAAGAAAAAATTACATGGTTGTCACCAAGGTTAAAGTATCAATACGTATGAACTAATATGTACCCGTTTTTGAGGTTACAGACACATGGTAGGGGTGGAATGGCCAAAATTCTTTCTCACATTCTCTCTCATTAATTTCTATGTAATTCCTATAACTACTCTCTCATTAATTCCTAGTTAATTTCTATATTTAAGGTTCAAATTCAAATTTGTCTAAATGACTTTCATCAGACCATTAAATTTGTCAAATTACTATAACCCATAATTTTTTTGGCATAACAACTATAAGTAAGAAGATTTTAACCTAGGTCTCTGGATTGAAAGACAAGAAGTCCACCACACCATGCTCCAATTAATTGTCATATTTTAACTTTTAGGCATTTTCTCTTCTCATTAAATGTCTGTCAATAAATATTAAAAAATTATTATTAGAACTTACTTGTGTATAAATATTAATGCAAATTATATTGGCTTTCTGAGAATGACGATATACTCATGTATGTACATATTTTACTTCTTTCATCATTTTTCAACATTTACCGTGTGTCCCCAATAATTTACACTTCACATAATAGATTATAGTATGCTTTTCTTATGTGTATATAACTTGCACTCATCTAAAACTTACATTTAGTTTATTGATGTGTTTTTTCCTAGCATATCCATGCACACCTTAATTTTTCCACATACATGTGTATCCAAAGCAAATCACAATCTCTCAAAGTTGACTTTCTGATGCTCTGAACCCTGGTTGTCACCTAGTCAAGGATATCCTATTGAATAGGATAATGCTATGGACTTGCACAATATGCTTTGGGTATGTCATGTGAGCCATGCGATCATTTTCCGATTTTCCAGTTTTTTTGTATTACCTCTGACTTGGCATGTACGCAAAATGAGATAATACCTTTTTTTTTTCTTTCTTAAGGCTGCTCAGCAGCTTCTGAGGCGGGACCTTGAACCTTGGGAGACAATTGTGGTTGGGGCTCTTTCAGGAGGGCTTGCTGCGGTTGTGACAACCCCTTTTGATGTGATAAAAACAAGAATGATGACTGCTCCTCAAGGTCTGCCAGTATCAATGTCAATGGTGGCTTTTTCTATTCTCCGTCAGGAGGGCCCTCTTGGTCTATTCAAAGGAGCAGTCCCTAGGTTCTTCTGGATTGCACCTTTAGGTGCCATGAACTTTGCAGGCTATGAACTTGCAAGAAAGGCAATGGACAAGAATGAGGAGCCACAAGGTGATCAGCTTCCTGAAAAGAAGCTAACCAACGCAGGTTAAAGATCCCCAACAGCCTCACAGTTGGCCTTCTTTTTCGAATGATACATGTGAGTTGTGCAACCTCTGGCAGGGATTTTACAGCAATGAGAGCATCATGTTGCTTCAGTTTTATTTGTCGACATCACCCTCTTCTTTTGAGACTTCTGAATAGCTTGTAACTTTTTCAAGCATTTTTGTAATCCATCAGTACTCGGCAAGAGCTTACATTTTGGGCACTAAATTTTGTATATTAACACAGCCCGAGTCACTGAGCAAGCCAAGGCTATTACATATGCTTAATCAGTTCTGATAGAATTTGAAAAACAAACTGCAAATGATGTTTTTCTTTTTTCTTTTTTTTTTCCCTTTTTGTACATCGCGCAGTTGACCATACCATACTTTACAATTTTATGGCGATGTTCTTTCGTCTTTTGTTTTGAGCAAGTTAAATGTCGTGCAGTGGGAAATAAAGTTATTACATATTAACATAGTTATTAACTGTTCCCATCGGCACAGTGCTTAAATTAATTTCTTGGATGGCTAACCAGCAGCTCGGTGCATTTATTTCTAGTGTTGAACGTGGATGATAGCACTTGAGAATGAACAAAATATCTCGTGTATTATTTTTTAGAGCAAATTTCTTACAGTAACTTATAATTTAGGAAATTGACTAAGGGCACAGTAACTTTTATAATTTAGGAAATTGACTAAGGGCCTGTTTGTTGCATCTTTTCGCATGTTTTTTTTGCTGTTTACAAGTTGGGAAGATTGCAAATCGGTTTATTTCTGTTTGGCATGTGGAAGATTTAGTCATCAAAAGACGGGACACTGAAAAGACGCACAAAGCCCATTTTGAGCTGATTTCAGGAAGTTCCAAATGAAACTTTCCGTGTTTTTCGTGTTTTAATCTCATGTGAAAAGACCCGAAATGATGCATGGAAAGACGCATCTGTCAAACGATCTTTGGGCTGTTCAAATCTTGTGTCAAAAACTCAATGTGTATTTTGACTGTCAGAGCTATAAGAAGATCTTCTCAAAAAGACTTGCCAAACAGACTTAACACTATCCTTATTGTTTACATATTAAATATTATTAAAATTTCTGATAATTGTCTAAAATCTCGTTAATTTTCTGTTCACGTGTGACATTATATGATTGATATATATTTTTTAAATTTTCTAAAATATCTTTTTATGGTTACAGTGTCAAACTATAAACGATAAGGAAAACTCACTTTTAAATCTACTCCATCTCAGTCTCCGTCTTCGTTGATCTTTGTCTCCGTCTCACCAGTGCATATATTCATGAATACTGTGCTATTCATGAGCGAGGTGCCTCTTCAACCTTAACTATTTAAGTTTTAGAAAGAGAAATCTAATGCAAGCAAATGTATTGTTGCGCCGATTAAAGATATGAACTTTCCCTGGATATTGCCACTTCTTCCAGTTCACTGATTCAGTCTCATCTCCCTTTCTGGTTTCTTGGTTGTTTGTCCTTCCAAACAATAAAGTAGTGATATAATTCTTACAGAAAAATAATAATCTATGGAACTCCTCTGCACCAATATTTATAATTCAAGACACAACCCATCTATATATTCTCAGAATTTATCTTTCTTGTTTATACCCCGTTGCAGACTGCAGAGCCACAAAATGGTCCTCTTCAATTTCTGTTAAACATTCCTTCCAACTCTTCTATTTGTGGTTTCTCTGTTCCATTTCTTATTCGCCACCAAAGACTAACTGGTACAAGATTGGCCCTTTGCTCTCACAATACAACAATCAACAATGGCCCCCTTGTGTCGGAAAAATTTTCCTTGATCTCATCTTTGTCTATGCAAGTCCAAGCCTTTCCAGCACGCCATCATCTCTGATTTTTACATCTTCCCTTTTACCTGGGACTGTTGCATCTTTAAATATTCTGTTTAGATATGTAAATCGTAAGTTCAGTAATCAGTACAAGGCAACAATTGGAACTGATTTTCTGACAAAAGAAGTTCATTTCAAAGATAGGCTGTTCACATTGCAGGTTTGTTTCCAGCTTAAAACGTGATTTTTATTTTTCTTATATATATATATATATGGGCTGTTTTGTTGAAGGATAGGATTATCCGGCTACAGCCAACGTGGTAGCTTCAAGTCACGCCGGGTTATGTCAGGTTAAGGCCAACCCTAGTCCAACCCTAAGTTTTAAACCCCAACCCTAACCCTAACCCTAACTAAATTCCTTCAACCCTAAGGTTGAGTTGGACTCAGGTTGGATCCAACCCAACTTTCTTCCCATCCCTTATAATCTCATAGAACTTGATCTCAGATCTTAACTCAACTTTCACTATATATATTAATCCTATGTTTTATTAGTATTTGTTCATTGATGCTTTTATTAGTTCTTTAAGTACACAATTCAAAAAACATAAAATATGTTATTAAGGTTTTAGTACCGGCGTATCGGCCTGTTTCAATACTTTTCTTTAGGTTTTATTTATTTATTTTTTGAAACCGGTTCAAAGGGGTCTATTTAAGGCCCGACTACCCTCTGGAGGGGCATATCGAGAAGCCATTGACACGATACATATCAACCAATACGGGCGAATATGAACCTTGGTTTTAGTATTACCAATTAGAATTAAGTGCAATGATTATCTTAAAAGAAAGAAATGATAGTATGTGATAGGGGCTATACAACTGTCATGCATTGAAACAAATCAATGTATAATATATGACATGTACTATAAAATCAAGTTCAGATTGCCTGAGGGGTCAACATCAACCCTAACCTTAACCTAAGCATAAACCCGACCCAATCCAACCGACTTTTTCAGGTTAGGTTTGAACCAACTCGACCCAAGTTGCAGCCTTAATGGTAGCTTCAGGAATCACCTTCGTTGTTTAGATCTAGTGCATTAATAGGAGTGGCCTTGTGTTTGTGGCAATGTATCAACCCATAAAGACCTCAGTTGTTGCCATTATGGCCTCCATTCCTTGAGGTGAACAGTCTAGGTTGCTTCGATCTATATAAAGGCATCATTAGAACAGACTTACAAAGCATCTAACTGAGATGCAAATGAGAATAGGAATGGCAACGGGGCGGGGCGAGGACAGGGAGAGATCTATACAAAGGCATCATTAGAACAGACTTACAAAGCATCTGACTGAGAAGCAAATGAGAATAGGAATGGCAATGTGGCGGGGCGGGGAGAGGGAGCCTCTTTCCATCTAGGTTGCTCGTTGCTTCGATCTATACAAAGGCGTCATTAGAACGGACTTACAAAGCATCTGATTGAAATGCGAATGAGAATAGGAAAGGCAACGGGGCAGGGCGGGGATGAAGAGCCTCTCCCCATCCCCTATAACGGGGACAAGGTTATTCCCATCCCCGTGGAGATCCCCATTCCCCGTGATTTTTTATAATGTTAATCATTTTATTTTTGTTTTTTATTTTATTTAAAAAATAAAAATAAAATAATTAAAATTTATAATTCTATTAAAAATGACATTTTTAAAAAATATTAATATATAGATATATGTGTACATATATACATATATAACACATGCATACATATATTAGTGGGGATCCCATGGGGCAGGAATTGGGGTCCCCGTGGGGCAGGGAGTGCTTTCCCCATCCCCGCTCCATTCAGGGTGGATCCCCACGGGGATCATTCTTAAATGAAAACGAAATTGTACTCCCAAATCACCTGAAATGCAGATGAGATTACAGCTCTTGAAAATTTTTATCAGTTGCGCTTTATTTTGAAAATTGATGAATAGTGGAGAGCAAATTCAATGTTTTGTTTTTTCGTTGCTACTTAATCACAATGTCAAATGTCAGAAAACTAAGGGGCAATTTAAGAGGGTTGAATTAATCAATTTGGTGCTTTAAGAAATGTATCCTATTTTTTAACTTGACATACTACGGGCAGTTCGAGAGCCTGGTCCCAGCTCCCAAGATCCAAGAGAATTGTAAGCGGAAGCCTTGTCATCTTTAGACCATACCACTCGGAATATTGTGCCTCTTTTCATGAAGATCCTCGATGAGTCATCTTCTCATCTGAGCAACAGAGCTAGAAAGGTAACGATGTGGTTATATTTATTTTATGAAACCAAGACCATAAGAAAAAGGCAAAATTCAGACTTCAATGTTGATATAACCAAGGTTGACATATCAATAGCCCCAATAGTCGTTCCGAATTTCATCATCAAACTTCTTCTTCAACTCTGGGTGCTTCTCAAAATACTCATTTGCAGTCATGGTGCTGATCTTTTTCTGTTATGATTGGTGAAGTTTAAATGAGCAGAAAAAACATATGAATGAATTACACTTGCTATGGAAGGAAAATATATTGGTTCCTTTTGCTCACCTTCATCTCTTGGACTTCAGCAATTTCTTTTTCCAATCTTTCGGACTCTTTCAGGGATTTCTCCTCTGCTTCTTTTAGCTCCACCAACTATAATCAAGAAGAGCACTCAAGTATTACTACAATGCAATGATTCAGTTATTCGGATTTAAGCAGGTAAAATACTGCAGGCATGAGCAAGAAGGAGAAACGAGAAAAGAAATATTAAGTAGCAACTAAGAAGTATCGCATCTCACCAATGCATCAAACTTAGGTTTGTATTGAGGAGTCACAGTGTCTACATACTTGGGGATCTCTATGCCTGCAAAGAAAAACAGTAACAAAGGGAAAATGAAATTGAAGGTCAGAACACACACATGTCGGCAATATAACACATACACACAAAGAAGGGGGAGGGAAGCAGAGAGAGGAATAGAATATTAAAGTTCAATAGTCATATTCAAGGATTAAAATATCGTATCGATACGATATGCCCCATATGTATCAGTAGATGCGCATGGCTACACTGATACAAAGACTTTTGTAAGGTCTGGGTTTTTAAAGGTGTGGGCCCCAAGCCCCCATCCCTCTAATTATAAAGTAATAAGTAAAAAAAATGTGAGTATCGGTGATATCATTACACACCAATACCCAAAACTAGGTATCAGGTGTATTGATATTTTAATCCTTGGTGATATCTTAATCACTTAAAACTTAGAAGGGTGGAACGGTTTCAAGTGCATGTGATATTGTAATTCAAGGCTATTCAGGAGCAGAGCCTTTGTGTGTGTATGTGTTTGCGCGCGCGCGTGTGGGGCAGGGGGACTTTATAAATCTCTAAATAAAATGTTGGGCTTAAGGGACCCAGTGTATATGTGAGGGTGTTTTCAAAACTTTATGCCCCCGAGCAGATTTCAAGGCTACATGAAAACTTGTCCTTCAGCAGATAAGTCTTTTATCAGGTATTCCATCATATTTCACCAACTCATCAACAAATTGTTTAAGAGCTCCTGTCAAGATAGATAAAGGGATAATTGCATAAAATAATCATTTAGAAAATGAACAAAATGACAATAGTTTACCAGATGAGCTTAGAGTTTTATTGTTTTAATGCCTTGTTGACATACCAAATTTAGAGTTTGGTGAATTCTTTCTGAGATTGCAACTTCCATCATGTAGAATCTCAGTGTACTTTCAAAAAAAAAAAACTTTGTTCAAGACTAGGATATGCTAAAAAACAAAGTCATGATTTACTTAAGCCCAGACAACTGTTATACCCCAACTAACACTAACTGAAGTTACTCAAGCAGATTGAAACTCTTATAACTTTTGACCGTGGTATAGGTAGCACCAAAAGAAAAATCAATTTGCATCTTTACTTCTAAAAATTTGAGACAACCTCATTTAATAGTGTCATTAATTATGATAAATAACTATGGACTGCCATTTTCACTAAAGATTCAAAATGACTATTGACCATTTAATGTGCAAGGACAATTTTATAACTTAAATGTGTAATTCCCATATTAATAAGTATTAACTGTAGATTTATATTGAAAATATCGTGTACGATAAGTTAGGAATACAGTATAGCTCCCTGTGTGTGTCCAAATTTGTTGAGGATGCTAATCTTTGGGGGTTTTATTATGTAGTTACTCAGAGAGGCATTTGTGTCTGATTTTTCTGTAGGAGGTGAGCATATTGGTTATGTTGTTGAGTGGAATTCGTGTTGGTGGGTTGGATGATGCCTTATCACCTATTGATGCATCTATCACTTTTTTGCTATCAATGAATTTCCTTTTCTTATTTACTAAAAAACCAAATGTTATGGTTTACTTAATATTAATAATGAATAAATATCTTTTAAAAAAACCGCAAACTAAAGATGTAAAGAATTATCCAACTTCCAATTATAAAGGAATAAAGAAAAGAAATGTCACAAAAATAGATTCCAAACAATACAAAATGCATAAAACATACTGTCATAGGCCTCTTTATACATATCCACCAAGCGAGAACCAGTTCCTTTCCTGTAATACTCCCAGTCAATAGGTTCTGGTTCCTGCATAAAGGGGGAAATGTAGCAAGTGAATAGGAATTGAGATTATTAATTAACTTAACTCCAACAGTTGGCAAAGCATAGTCTCCATTTTAGCCCTACTTTGTAGGGCTACAACCTGCATTTCTGTCTGAGGTTAATATAATATGTTGTGATCATGAAATCAGCAATAAGTTTTGTATTACTCGTATTTGTAGGATTGGAGAACAACTTAAATTCAGAAAGCTAGACATGTAAGGTCCAGTTCTCATATGCCCTTATATCACGTTCTCCACTGACATAAGCCTCAAGGACAGATCTTCAAGACTAGCAAGTCTCCATATAGTTCAAGCAAGAATCCACAATTCCACAGCATACAGAACACATTAATGAATACAACAACATTTTAAGGCATATCTCTCTCTATGAACTGCATTATCCACAAAATAGCATCCTTAGATACACAGAACTGATGATCAAGAATTTTATTAGATTGTCTCCTGTCGTGTTATATCAATCTTGTAGTTCAAATAAAATGATTGTAACACATGTTAAAAACCTTACAACCATATACTAGTCTTGTCAGATCCTCATGTATAAAAAAGGATCGTGTAGGATTAAGTAACAACTTACAAGTGAAAGTCAAGGGTTTCCCATACTATGATACAAGGTGATTTTTCCAACTCATGACTAAGAGAACACTCAAATTCAAGGAAATAAATATCATTTTCGTACAGCGTTATATAATAATGTTAAAAAAAAACATGTTAAACCCCGAATAGTTACATTAGAATCAGTGAAGAAACTTTTACATCCCAAGAATTATTAATTAAAACGCAAGGTGTATTATTGCATCTACTTTAGAGGTTACAAAAACTGTTATTGAATTCAACTTTCAAAGGATGCGAAAGGACACAAATTGCAACGTAGGAAAAACTCTGAGCATAGAAAAAGGTTAAAAAATAAAAATAAATAAATAAAACGCTACGGGCTAGGCAAGACTATTGAACTGATAGTGTCCATTAATTGTTATGTGCCTGTGTTTGAAAGAGAAGAATGTCGACATCTGCTAAGATGTGTTCTGCATAGGAGGAAAATGTGTAGGCTTCGGTTATCTCATAAAAGACAATTACAACTTTGTGAGTTCATGAAGAGCCATGCTTGCAGGATCGAAGAATGTAGTACATGATACACCAAACAAAAACCCTAGCTTCAAACAAATCATAACCAAGCAAAAAAGACGATCAACCAGAAACGTGGATCTCAAGAAAAGATCAATAAGAGAAGAAAACCTCAGATGATGATGAATTATATACCATCGACGATGAAAGAGAGAGAGAGAGAGATATGCCTGGCTGAACTTGGTTTGGAGGGTGGAGTTGACTTCGTCGAAGGCGCGACGGAGAGAAGCAAACTCCTTGCGCGCCTCTTCGGAAACAAGAAGCTTCGCCATTCCATCCCAATCGATCCCCTTGGACGCCTTGACAGCAACATCTGCTATTTTCTTCCCTGTACCACTCATTTTTCTGATCGGACTCTCCTTCGCTTCACTGATTATAATGCAGAGAGAGAGAGAGGGAGAGGGAGGGNAGTAAATATCAAATTCAATGAACCCCGGAGGAAGATGGAAAAGAAAGACGATACGAGACACCACTCTTGCCTTCCTCGCTCAAAGATTTGGACTGGCCGCGGCTCGGATTTCTTTCAGATTCCCATCGATCGGATCGGATCGGCTCAATCGGACCCTATTAATCGAGCCGGCCTGGCTTGAAAAAAAATGTGGTAATTTCAAATTTACAAAATGTGTCTAAAATGGTTATAGATGGTTCTTGCATAAAAAAAGGTCGAAAGGCTAGCTCTAATCTTTTAATTGGTGTCATCTATCAAAAAATCCTTTAATTGGTATCATTAATTATAATGAATGATTACTTAAATGCATATGGATATTACAATGCCATCATTTTTCGCCGAGGCTTTGCTCATTTTTAAATTTTTTATTGTTAAATGTTTCTCATTTATCCATATTCTTTTGATTTTTAGGTTAATAATATAATAACTTTTTATCCATAAAAAGTTAATGTTAAAAATGACAAAGTTGTTCCATCATGTTTTATAAACTTTTCCCCTAAGTGAGAAAGTTATTTATCCACGCCTGAAAAATGGGTAAGTTTTATTTGAATAAATAAAATTCTTTTTACCATGGGACCTGATACTTAATGCAAAAAGAATACTTTAAAGTTAGTCAATGAGAAAGAGATACCAACTGACCATCTTTGTCCCTTTTATTTACTGACAAGACTTATAACCTGTTCATTTGCTCTAAAGTTTGACATTTGAAAATGTAATAATTACATTAAGGTATATTGGTATTGATGAACTTTTTTTTCCTTTGAACTTTGAATGCAGAGAATGTTGTTTTGAATTCTAAATTCTGAATTCTGAAAATTGTCAAATATCTATTTTGACCCCATATATGAGAGTTTTTGCTTGTCTTTTTTGAAGTATCATTGGAAACAAAAAAGTTATATGATTGCACTTTAAGAAATAAGAGGAAATGAATAACCATTTTTTTCTTAAAATTAAAAAATTGCTCTTAATAGATAAGAGTTAAGAGGAAACGAATATGCCCTTAGTTTGGAAGAATACAAATACAAATATGTAAAAATGCAAAATCTTGTATTTTGTATTATTTTTAATGTATTTACACCATACATTTTTGTATTTATACTCCTAAACTGAGCCTAAATGAACAGGACATCAAGATTCAATTTTTTTCGATACTACATAGAGCACGATATATGCTTTATCACATAAAACCTATAGTTACACGGGTTTGATCTTACACTTTTATATTTAGAGATCCAGCTCATGGGTCATTGGCAATATTCAAAATGACTATACCATTTTCTTTTTTCATATTCGTTTTTTTGGTGAATCTTTTTTTTTTTTTATTCTAATACTAGTAGCAAGTTTTAATTGTAAAAACATTTTTCTTTTTTATATTCTAATACTAGTAGCAAGTATTAATTGTAGAAAGCTAGAAACACCAGTGTAGCTTTGTTTCACGTCTCCAAATTGGCATATAGATCAGTATATAACAAAAATATGCTGGGGGAGGGTCTTGTATTGTTGGAAGTGGATAGTCTATGCTAGGACCTAGGATGCTCCCGTTTGCATCTTGGATTTGTTGAGTATGGTTCAAAGTATCCATATACTAGATATGCAAAAATTTCTACATCCATCAATACTATTGCTTGTTTTTGTTTTTCATTTTGATAATTCAAAAGGAATATTTTAAATTTATTAAAAGGACCTAAATATCACTATCTATTGTTTTTGTGACCCTAAAAACTAATACATATCAATACTTTGAACCAATGGTTTAAAAATTGACCTACCACTTTGATCAGTGGTTTGGTCATCCGATCTAAATGGATCAATTTGTGACAATTTAAAAAATTAATAATAATAATAACAACAACAACAACAACAAATGTTGTTTGATGGTTCAATCACCTATGTCAACGGATTGTTGATCAAGTCAACAATTTTTGGCAAAAAAGAAAAGGTTTGGGGTTGAAACAAAATCAGTACCCTAACCATTTTCTGGGCTGAATGGTCCGACTATCCGGATCAATGACGGTTCAAAACCAAGCTTTGAACCTTGTTTTTTCAAGGGTGCTAAAATACTCATATATGGGGTTTTAAATAGTCGGTCGGGGGCATTTCTGTCTGATTTTGTTTTTTTCTGTATGAGGTGGGAATATTAGTTAGATTGTAGACTAGAAATTATGCTGGTGTATTGGATGATGCATCTATCACTTTTTCTTTGTCCATGAATATCTTATATCCTTATCCTATTTACTATAAAATACACCATATGGTATTGTTAAATTAAAATATTTTTTAAAAACTAAAGGTGTCAAACATTATCAACTTCTACTTAGGGTGGACATGAATCAATTTATTCGCAAGCCATCCAAGCTCAGCTTACGAAAAGTTCAATTCAGTTACATCTAAATCAAGCTTTGAATCGAGCTCAAAATATTAATTGCTAATTGAGACCATGTCAAATGGTATGAAGCTCAATTCGTGGAACTCATGAACGTAATTGAGCATATTTTTATTTTTCTATATATATAATAAAAATAAAGTTTTATATGTATAACGTTTATTTTTATATGTATAATAAGAAATAAATTTTATATGTATAATTTTTTATATGAAGTTTGGTTCACCCTTGAGGCTTGAACACGAGCCAAGTTAAGCTTGAACACGAGGTTTTTTTAAGGCTATACAATGGGAGTAGCCCACCCAACCCAAGTGCAGGCAGGATTCGATCCCAAGTCTCTACTATGACCAATAAGAGACCTTATCAACCCATTGTTGGCACATGAGCCTTTGAGTGTTAGCCAAATTTGAGATAATATTTACAGGCTCTGATTGGCATCAGACTTGAACCCAAAGTCAAACCTTATGCTTTTTTATCAAATCGAACTCAAATAATCTAATATTTGACTTGACTCAAGCCTATATCAACCCCTAATTCTAGCTACAAGGAACAAAGAAAAGAAATGTAATAAGAACATGTTATTCTTTTCTGATGAAGGGAAAAGGGGCTACACAGATCTGGGGGTAGCACGTCCCCAAAAATCAAATAGGCAAATGAACTTTAAACCCCAAGGTAAATTGACATGATCAATCTTCACACTGGTATGGCCTCTATGTGCTAGCCAATCTGCAGCTTGATTTGCTTCTCTAAGAATGTGTTTGTATCCAACGTCTAAGCACTTCTCCCTTGCTGCAACCTGGCATTCATCAATGAGATTTTTTATCATACAAGGCGGCTCCAGCTTCATTTGGAGACACTCGATTATTAATCTTGAATCACCCTCGATCCAAACCTTGTCATGCTTATACTTTTTAGCTAGGTCATGGGCCACCCTTGCTGCCCATGCTTCAGCCATCTGGGTTGAAGTTTTTTCAATTTTTCCTGATTTGGTTTCTAGGATATACCCCTGGTGATTTCTAACAATGCACCCAAAGGCACACTGCCCATTTTGTTTTCTTGAAGCGTCGAAATTTATTTTTATTTCTCCTTCATCTGGGGCTTTCCATTTAACTTGAGCCAATTTTTTCCGCTTCTTAACTTGTTGAAGAGCGTTCCCAGCTTCGAGATATTCATTCAACATGAGATTTGATTTTTCAAGAACAAAAGGTGGATTTAATGGGTTATTAATTACCAGAGATTCTGCTTTGTATGCTATGGTATAGGCTGACTTGATCGAGTCTCTGTCCTTAGGATCCGCCTCACAGACAAGTCTATCGTCTCTACCATCAGAATGGATGGGCATTGACCTACTCGTATCCCATATATTACATTGTTGATAAGCCTCTTTATACATATCCACCAAGCCTGAACCAACTCCTTTTTTGCAGTACTCCAAATCTATGGGTTCTAGTTCCTGCATAAAGTAAAAAAAATGGTGCGAGTCAATGGGAATTGAGAAATTGAGATTATTAATAATTTGGGAATAGTTTCAAAAGATGATAAAATAAGAGAAGTAGACTAAGATGATTTGGTCATGTGTATAGAAAACCATCTACAACATCTCTGAGAAGAAACAATTTGTTGCAATTGAAGGGGCTATAAGAACTAAGAGTAGACAAAATAGAACATGGATTGTAGTAAGAAATGATTTAAGTGTTCATAATTTAACAATGGATTATGGAACTAAACAAAAGGGAATGGCAAAAAAAGCTGAACAAAAGGGAATTAATGTTAGCCAACCCCAACACCATATAGCCAGGGCAAGGATTAAATGATGATCATGATGAATGGGCTGCAAGCCTGCAAGCTGCAGTTCTGTCTAAGGCGAATACTACATTTTGTGATCATGAAATCAGCAACACTGAACATTTTTTAGGTGCCATAGTTTTTTAAGGAATGATAACTTCAAGAATTATAACAAAACAACTTGGTGTTACTAATATTTGCAAGACTGAATGAAGAGTACAGGGAAGAAGGAATTGCATGACCATAGTATAAACAACTTAAATTAAGAAAGTTAGAAATGTAAGGACCAGTTGTCCCCTTGTGCCCTTCTATCATGTTCATTGCAAGACTAGCAAATTCCCATATCGCTAGAGGCAAAAATCCACGGAAATATACATTGCTATTACAGGATACATTAATGAATTCAATAACATGTTAAGGCATATGAGCTCTATGAACTGCATTATCCACAGAAAAAAAAAAAAAAAAAATTCCTGGATAACTTCGTGGATACACACACTGATGATCAAGAATTTTATTAGATCAAACAGAATGATTTTAAACACGGAAAATTGGAATGTCGAGTTTAACTTTCAAAGGATGCGAAAGGACACACACTGCAACATGGGAAATTCATGACTATAGAATTGGTTTGATTGCGTCTTAATTGTGATGTGTCTGTGTTTGAAGGGGAAGAATTTCCTGCTAAGACGTGTTCTATATTAATGCAGATGAGGAAAACGCTCAGTCTCCGATCGTGTCAGAAACGACTATTGCAATTTTGTTGGTTCAATCAAATATCTTCCAACGAAACGAAACCTAAGTCCATGAAGGCTCTAATCGTAGAACCGAAGAATGTGGTACATAATACACCAATCAAAAACCCTAGCTTCAAAATAACTCCCTAAGTTCATGAAAAGCTCAAACTGATGAAGAATTATATATCATCCATGACAAAAAAAAAAAAGTGAAGAGAGAGAGAGAGAGAGAGAGTTGCCTGGCTGAATTTGGTTTGGAGGGTGGATCTGACTTCGTCGAAGGCCACATGGAGAGAAGAGAACTTCTTGCGCGCCTCTTCGGAAACAAGAAGCTTCGCCATTCCATCCCAATCGATCCCCTTCGATGCTTTAACAGCAACATCTGCTATTTTCTTCCCCGCCCCGCTCATCGCTCTTCAGGTAGTACCAATCGGACTCTCATTGGTTTCGCTGATCATGAAGCATGAAGAAAAACCTACCCGGTGACAAGGGGTCGACCATCGCACTCGGACCAGCCGGCTCGCCACTTGCGCGCCCAAACGCATATCGTGGTGTGATGGTGCAAATGGATCGGATCTAGAATTCGATCCTATTTTTTATCAGATTCAGATAACTTTCTATTAGATTTTCAGATCAGATCAGATGATAGGATTCAGATCGAACTTGGTTCGCTTCTATCCAATTATATTCAATATATATGTATACTTATAAACATTTTACTTATAAAAAGACATGTATATTATGAAAATAGTTTGAAAAAAAAAACTTATATTTCTGTTTTTCTTTATATAATTTGTTATGGTTTTTTAATTTTAATAGTTTATTACAATTTTCAGGATTTCAATTTGATTGGATCATATTCGGATATCTAACATCCTCGATGGATTCAAATTCAAATCACTATATGTGAGATCTGATCAGATCACATTCAGATATATCTGAATTTGAATCCGACCCAATCTTTTTGTATCACCAATCATGTGTGTACAGAGTGGGGAAGCCAATCTGAATGTGTTGTGGGGCACATAAAGGGCGCAGGAGGCTGGCGCTCCTCACGCTGACCTCACAACACATCTCAACCGTACTTTAGAAATATCTCCCATACCTATGTGTTGTTATTCATGGCCAGATGTTTCCCGGATGATTTGAGGTGCAAGGCCGGTGTGAGGAGAAAATCCCAATTCCAATTTGAACTCATGCATACATTGGGAACATATCCCTTCTTGAGCTGAGATATGACTTGAGAAAATGTGTTTTTTCATAGAATGTAGAAAAAAAAAAGATATAAAGAAAAAACAACACTACACATAATGGATGTGTGGTGCTGTTTTTAAATTAGAATTTGCATCATTTTTCATTTGCATTCTCATGCATTTATTTTAATGCAAATAAAATTATTCTGCAACCAAATACAGTGTTGTGAATCATATTAAAGTGGTAATGGATGATTGTGGTGGGCTGGTGCCAAAGAATTGCGGTTAGACGATATTCCGTGAAGGCATGATCTACTCAGCTAGTTGACGGTCTTAAACGAGTTCGGATCTCCTGCCCACACAAACTCTGCCCACATTTATCGTAGTCACACATGGAGAACATCTCATCCTGGGAAGATGTTCCCAATTCACAGGGGATAATATGTTATGGGTAGACGTGGGCAGGAGATCCGAACTCGTCTCAAACAGGTAAAAAACCTCTTTGCCTGCTCTCTTCGTAGAGTGACGATCTCTACCACATGGTCCACGTTGGTTGCATTTTGTCGGCCCAACCAACGAAATTTCAAATTGCATTTGATGATCATCATTTTATGAAATTTTCACTTTAGTACCCTGAACTTTGGGAGTAGTGTAAGGTTAGTACCCGAACTTACCTAAATCTATATTTATACTACCTATAAAAGAGTGAATGCCTATTCTTTTTGGAATTTTTGTTGGATGCTTTCTATTCCCTTTGTCTAAGCATACAACGGGCATAAAGAGGGTATATAAATCATTTACTCTCACTTTAGAAACTGTCCACTTATAACTATTCAAAAACTGCCCATGAATTATAAATAGTTTTGTCTTAGAGATATTATCACGTGCAAATGCATGTACATGTTTACTAATTTTCAAAAAGTGTCAAGCATGTTTATTAGTTTTCAAAAAGTGTCAAGTTGGTCCTTATCGTTAATCAACCATCAGTTATCTGTTGAAAATGTCAAAACTACCCTTCAAAAGAATACACTGTTCATTGTCTTCTACCTTGAGATTGAACCAGTTATCTTAAAAAAAAGAGAGAGAAAATGTGAAATATGATAGAGGGAAACAATAACTAAAAGCAAAGAAATAACTAGATAAGAATATGTTTCACATCTAAAGATAGAAGATAATGACTTCATTAGTTTAAAATCTCAAACACCTCAACGGATTCAGTCTCAAAAATCAAAATAGAAAACAATGAACAGTATCTTTTTTTGAATGATAATTTTGAGTTTTGACATTTTCAACAGATAACTCATAATCGGCCCTTATTTTTATTATACAGTTAGGAAACCGATTCTCGTCTTGACTTCCTATCCAGACCACCAACCAGACTCCGGATCTCCTGCCCACATCTAAATATGGGCAGAGTTATTGTGGGCAAGAGATCCGGACTCAACCAACCATAAGTTATTTCATATATTTTCCGACCCTATTTGTCGCTTTAGGCAAAAAATTGATGAAAAGTGTGTCATCCTGCATTGGACCTTACCCTGAAAGCCGAAAGACTAATCGTAATTCGTAAGCAACCTGTTAGCAAACATTTGAATTCCAGCACAAACACGTGGCTGTCAAAAGTGAAAGAGATTTCCTCTCTCGTTGTCCTTGTAATAAGCATACTCAACGAGAGGGCCAATAATACAAGGTTAAAAAAATTGTTACGTATCGGGCCCTTCCCGATACGCTCCTTTAGGAATTGTATCGGGTCAGGGCCTGGTTCAGAGGGTAGCCAGGACTTAAACTGGCCCCTCTGAACCAAAAAAAAAAAGTGAAAGTTTAAAAAAAGGCCGATACGCCCTACCAGCATATCGGCCAGTATCGATACTTTGAATTGAACCTTGCCAATATGCCTTATCTCACAGACGATATCAAAGGAATGCAAAATGTGACCAAGTGGGTGTGGATCACACTTGGATGGTAATAGCAAGAACTTAAGAGAGTCTACTTGTATCAGTGTATGGCGAAACTGTAAGATGTTTTAAAGATAAAAGATGTGTACAAAAATAAAAGTATACCTAATCCAAATATCCATCAGTCTCTGTTTCTTTTTTTTTTTTCGATGAACCAAAAAAAAGGAAGACAAAATCCTGACTCAAGTACTTCTCTGCCATGATTGTCAGTTTCACCTCCAATAGCGATACTGGGGTTCATCTTCATACTCATCAGAATCATAGAAATCTTCATCTTCATCAGAGTCTTCCCGGTTACCTTCATACATAATGTAAACCTCATCCCAGAGTGGACAACTACAGGTTGCTTTCTTGTTTTTCCATTCAGCTCCACAAGTATAACAGAACTCATAACCGCACCTGCAAAAACAGTAACTCGTTATTTGCCTGCTCATGGCCTTCAACTTTGAGTCGAGTTGATGTCCTCCCACTTTAATGCTAAAATACTTACCAATCTGACAAACAAGGACAGAATAGTAGTGATATAGCAGTGATTTGCAGCCATTTGTTAATTCTACATTTAGGAAAACTATTTATAGAGAACTACTAATCAGCTCATTGCGACCATTAAAGCACAACCAAGTTAGCAAATCTTCCAAATAACAATGATTTTGATTTATAGTTGTTAAAATGTCATCAGACACCCGACTTGTATACAAAGAGTGCCCATCTAGGTGACAAAAGTCACAAGGTAAAGCTCTTCATTGTAATAAATATGGTAGCATAATGAGAATAGAGAAGAAAGCAAAACAGATAGAGGTTTCTTTTTCTTCTTTCCTTTTCCCATTTTTCTTTTCTTTTTCCCACAATTACTCTCTCAACATGTTAAATAGAACAGAGGCCCCACACTTGTTATTGTTTTTCCCTTTTGTTACTTCTCTTAAATCTTTTATTAGTATAAAATGATAGCCTTATTAACAATAATATTTTTGACATGCAATTCTTCTATTAAAAGCTAATTACATTATAATATTATATTTGAAATGTTGAAATTAATAGATTTAATATGCTATTTTCTTTTAGATATGATGATTTCCGTGTATTGAGATGAAATTCTGTGTTATGTAGTAAAGAACAAACTAGGAAATTAACCTAGAACTTAGCTTTCTCTTTGCCATACTCTTATCACCTAAGTCACTAGGCACTCCACTCTTTGACAATTATGCATGGATTTCACTTTCCTGAAATTCTAGAAATTGTATATTTATCTGGCTTGACACCTGACAAAGGGAAAAACACTTCCATATATTCCATCTAAATACAAAATAGAAGTTTCTGTCATTCTTATAGAGGAAGACTAACATTAAGTAAAACTCTTAAGGCATAAAAGGAAAAGTCTACAGGTCATTGAAATTAGGACTGGCATGGAAAATTCAATATCAGCAATCTTTTGACTTTAAAGGGAAACTAAAATTTCTAACTACACCATGTCTAAACAGTTCATCGGTAGAATTTTTGTTCTTGTTTTTGTTTTTTTTTGGAGGGGGAACAAGGGTTTGTGTTTAAGCAAACTTCTGCACCAACATCTCAGCTTTAAGCATATATAGCTTTCCAAGTTTGATGAGTAATTTTGAGCTAGATGGTTGTAGATAAATTGCTGGACATGCATATGTGATTGGTATGAAGTAATGCCCATGAAAGCAGACTGCACAAAAAAATGGCAAGCCTTTGACTCAATACAGTTTATGTGTCATGCCAGAGAATCCAATCAGGCCACCTACCAGCCAAAGCTTAAGGTTGGAGGCCCATACCCATTCAAAAAATTAAAATAAATAAATAAAAGAACAAAATCTTTGTAAGCCCAACCAGTCAATACCATACTAGTTCAATCTGTTTAAATACATGGATCCCGTTATCAAGTACTCATTTTGTGTGGTGCACCTCACCTGTCTTGTTGCTATGTTTTTGATGAATGAGCCTATATTTTGATGTTCGAATAGGCAATTTACTATTGTATAGATTGTCCATTACTATTATTTTTAGTTTTAAATAGTTTAGCCCATGTAGACTTGAACCTGCAAGGCTACATGAGCTAACAGGACTGAGCTAGTGTTTAAATACAACCTGTGTTAATATTACACTCTAACCAATATTGATCAAAAAAAAATATTACTCTAACCAATTGAGCTAACAGGATTTCATTTTATGAGAACATAGACATAGATTTGGATATTTATTATATATTAATTTTCTTTTATTTTCTAGAGATGGTGCCTCACTTTTTTCAGGTGTATGCTTTGTTCCTCGGGCTTTAGGAACCCTTGCGCTTCTCACTTTTGAGACACTAATTGCACAACGTCTCAATGGTAATTAAGCATCAAGAACATTTTTCTTTTGAAGTTCACAAAACTGGTCAAATTTGGGATAATTAGAAAAACAGTACCTGCAAGTCATGTGGAAGCAACCTTCAGCCAGCTCAATCATATGATTGCACTTAACACATTGGCGCCAGAGTTTTTGTGTAGCAAGAGATTTCAGCTCCGCATCTGCTCCATGGGGATAAGGATTTAACCTTTTATATTCATTGCATGTCATGTTACTATGCCATGGGACTTTGCAATTGATGCAAAAAAGGCCATGACATTTTGTACACATCCTGGCTCCAGATCGATCAGCACCAATAAATACATTATTAGAATAACCTAAAACCTCAGTTTTTGACATCAATGCAGAACACCTAGGGTAAGGGCAATAAATCTTCTCATTTACAGGAATTGAAGCCTCCAAAATACGTTGACTCATTATCTCAAGCAATTTAGGTGTCAAGAATTTTTTACAACTATCTACATTCAGCTTGGAATTGCAGCCTTCATGAGGGCATCCAGGTATCAATCCATGAAGCAACTTGACTTCCACATGCTGCTTCATACATGTAAAGCAGTAGTGATGCACGCAACCATCAACAGCAAACATTTGGCCAATAGCAGTGTCTTCCAAACATATGGTGCAAGTCTCATTCAAATTCTTGCCACGGCTAGATTCTATAGACCTTCTTATTTGAGAATCTATAGCATCCCTTGCCAATTTAAAAGCAAATTTAACATCATTTCGTGCCACATAGACTGGACGGAAGCCCTGAAATTTCCTTTGTAGCAAAAACACCTGATTGAATAATGTAGCAACCTTGCGCTGCTTAATTCGCCATCTCCCCATAATCTGCATCAGGAAATACAGTCAATAATGCAAACTATCCATACTTGATGTAGTTTAAACTACAAAGAAATTTTCTTAAGTCAACATACAAACATAGGGATGGCAATTGGATGAGGATTAATGGGGATCCCCAACCGGGGTTGGGGTCGGGGATGGGGAATGAGGTCCCAACCCCCCCCCCCGGTCCCCGATTATATATATTAAATATATTATATATGATATTATTCATTTATCAAAATATATTTAAATATTATTTATATTTTAAAATTTTTTATTTATTTTACGTAAATTTATTTTTCAAAAAATATTGTTAACTAAAAAATTTCAGGGATTCAGGTCCCCATGGGGAATTTGTCCCTATCGGGGATCAGAGCTGGAGGACAATTTTTATCCCTAATGGGAATCAGGACTAGAGATGGGTATTTATTCCAAAATTGGGGTCGGGGACGGGGAATATGATCCCCACCTCGAACCTGCCCCGTTGCCATTCCTACACAAACACATATATAATTGTTATGGAAATCGAGGTTTAAATTAAAAATTTTCCATGCATCAAAGTTCAGTAAGTGTTTAATATGAGATAGCATAGAATTCATACCTCTAAAAAAACCCTTAAAACACCAAAATATACATATGGTAATTAAGGCCTTGTGATATTTTTACAGAGAAGGGGGTACAGCCTTGGAATAAAAAGGAACTATTTTGACTTTGTACACATTTGACTTATCAGATACAACTAAAATGATCTAAACATCAAAGATAAACAAGAAATCTAGGTTTGAACACATATTTTACCCAAAAAAATAGTTTTTAACACGTACATCCTTTTGTAAAGGCCACTGACAGATTAGAGTTTCTTTCCTTGTTTCAATGTAGTATATGTTTCATTTATTGAGTTTCACATACTTAAATGCAGATATACATTTTATCTGGATCGGATACTTCATTTCCAACATAAATTTTGTATCTACAGCCTTTACATGTTTTGTCATCATGGCATGGAAAACATAATATACCAGCTAACATCAATATATTGATGAAAATGGTGCATTTAAAAGGGGGAACTAAAGTGCCAAACAATGTTTACATGCATGCAGTAATTGCACCAAGTCTATTACATAATAGTATTATGTATTTACTTAATAAAGTGATGGTTTTTAAATCACAAATAACCAGATTGAAGAGATATTGTTAATAAAAGATAAAGGATAAATTATCCAAAAATTAAAAGGTAAAGGGTAATGCAAATGGTCAAATCCATTCTCAAAGTAGGAAAATTGACCCAAACAACCTCTCCATGGTGAAGGCAACCACTATCCATTGTGGTGCATGATCATGCCAAACCAAGGTTGAAAATATCAATACAGGCCGATATGCCAGATGGGGCATATCGGCCTGTACAAGACTGCCTTATTTTTTTAGTTTTTTTTTCTTCTTTCAAACTGGTTCAGGGGGTTAGTTTAAGGACCATCTACCCCCTGAAATAGGTGGGACCCTGAAACACTAAGTGTAAGGGCATATCGGAGGGTCACCAATACGATGCATATCGGCCGATACACCCCAATACATTGCAATATATCGATCCTTGTGCCGAACATTACATAAGTAAGAAACTATCCAAGGAGGCAAACCCCCAATACATCTCATATATCCTGACTTTCTTCCATGCCAAGTTGTCAACCAAGGTGTTGGCTAACCACTAAATCCATCTGAACATTTCAAGGTTCTAGTTTCTCTAATACAATGATGGAAAATCCAGCGTCCATCCATACCATCTTTGAATCAACTGGTAACCACTTAATGAGTCTCCTTCCACCTATCTCCTCCAAACCAATGAATGCCATTATCATGAAGCCTCGAAGCCATGACCCAATGGGCCCAAAAAATGCCAATATATAGGGGCACAAGTTGGACCAAGTTAGACCAAGTTGAGGCAATGCATAGTCCAATCCAAAGTATTACAAGCCCAATCCACCCAATCTAGAATTCCCTCACCCTAACCCAAACCAACTCAACCTAAAGATAATGTTTTCAACCCGTCATTGACCTGGCCAATTGAACCGTTCAAACCATCACCCGACGGCCCGACCATGATTATGGGTCCAATTCTACTAAAACCCAGGAATTGGTCAAAAACCATTTGACCTAGGCAATTGGACCATTGACCAATTAGACTCGATGTTAGGTCACGGGTTGCACACTATCCGAAGGCCATAACTTTGCGCTCTGATGTCCAATTGGGGTGATTTTTTATTTTGGGTAACTTTTCGAGACCTCTAAGTCCCAAGAAGTCATAGGCACCTTGCGCCACTATTTTTGTGAAAAAAAACTTTTTTTGCCTCGAATTGTAATTTTTAATATTTTTACAAATAAAAAATTAAAAATATAAGTTAAATATAAAATAATACATATATTACATGTAATTATACGTTATTTATTGATAAAATGTGTTTACACACACATACATACATATATATGTATAACTATATATGTACTTAAATATATATATATATATATAGAGAGAGAGAGAGAGAGAAAGAATGATGATGTGGCACAATCTGATCCATGCGACCCAAACGTTCAAACCAGTGACTTGCGACCTGGAGGCAAAAATGGTTTGGCCTCTAGGTTGATTGTTAAAACATTGTGTAAAGGTGGTATTGGGTCAATTGTTAAAAGAAGCTTAGTGAAAGAAACTTTGAAAAGAGTAAACCCAGACACAATTATTCTTCAAGAATCTAAAAAGGAAGTTATTGACAAGAAACTTATGAAAGCCTTTGGGGAATAAGGGGTAGAAAATGGATTGTTGTTCCAGTAGTGGGATCCGGTGGTGGAATCATCCTAGCTTGGAAGGAAGACGAAATCTCAGGTTTGGAGATTGACAAAGGTGAATTCTCAGTCTCAGTTTTGTTCACAAACATTAAAGATGGGTTCAGCTGGATTCTTACCAGAGTGCATGGCCCCAACTCTCCCTCTGAGAGAGAGAGAGATTTTGGGAAGAATTGGATTCCCTGCATGAGGAGGATATCTCGTGGTGCTTAGCTGGTGACTTTAACGTCACAAGATTCAATCTGGAACATTCCAATGGTAGAGCCCCAACAAGAAGTATGAGGAACTTCTCAAAATTTATTTCCAGACATAACTTGTGCGACCTCCCTCTTACTAATGGACTCTTCACCTGGTCAAATATGCAAGAAAATGTCATAAGTTGCAGACTTGATAGATTTCTGCTTTCTCAAGATTGGCTGGAAAGATTCCCCAACCTTTGATAAGAATTTCGCCCAAGATGTACTTCAGATCACTGGCCTATTTTGCTGAACACTGAAAGAATTATTAAAAGAAAGACTCCTTTTAGACTGGAAAAATTCTGGTTATCTCACAAAGATTTCAATAAAAAGGTTGCAGAATGGTGGGAAGATTGCAAAGTAGAGGGTTGGGTTGGTTTCAGGCTTCTACAGAAATTAAGAGCTCTAAAGAGAAACCTGAAAGCTTGGGGGAGAGAGGAATTTAAAGCTGATGAAGAAGAGAAGAAAAAAGTTCTTACGGAGTTAGAGGAGTTGGATAGCAAAGAACAAAATGGGACCCTTGATGCTTTAAACAGAAGTAGAAGAGCAGATTTGAGAAAGGATTGGGAACAACTGATCAGAAGAGAAGAAATTTACTGGAGACAAAGATCAAGAGTGAAATGGCTGGAAGAAGGAGACAATAATTCCAAATTTTTTCACACTTATGCCTCGGGAAGGAGTAGGAAAAACTTCATCTCCAAGCTGAAATTGAACCAGAGGGAAGAAGAGAATCCTAAGGAAATTAAGGAAGCCTTCCTTTCCTTCTTCAAAAACCTTTACTTCAAGGATAGTAATAACCAGTTTACATTGAGCAGATGGGAAGGCACAACTTTATCAGCTGAAAAGAGGGTTTGGTTGGAAAGAAGCTTTGAAGAGGAAGAAGTTAAAAAGGCTGTCTTCAACATGGATGGAAATAGGGCTCCAGGGCTCCAGGACCGGATGGTTTTCCCATCTCTTTCTTCCAGCAGTGTTGGGAAATAGTAAAGTCAAATCTCATGGATTTTTTCAAGGACTTTCACTCTTCTGCCATTGTTAACAAAGGCCTAAACTCAACCTTTCTCTGTCTCATCCCAAAGAAAGGGGGAGTCTTGGAGGCTAAAGACTTTAGACCAATAAGTTTGATAGGGAGCATCTACAAAATTTTGGCTAAAGTCTTCGCTAAAAGACTTAAAGAAGTCCTTGAAGATCTAATTTTCCCAAACCAGTTTGCCTTTGTAAAAGGGAGACAGATTGTGGACAGCATTCTAATTGCAAACGAGTGTGTGGAAGACAGAAAATCCTTTGGGTACCCGGGGGTCCTAGTGAAATTAGATCTGGAAAAGGCATATGATAAAGTGGATTGGGACTGTATTTTAGATTGCTTAAAGATGAGAGGTTTTGGTAGCAGATGGATCAGGTGGATTAAGGGTTGTATTGGTTCTTCATGGTTTTCGGCATTGATAAATGGTGAAGCGAAATGCTACTTTAAGGCTAGTAGGGGTCTCAGACAAGGTTGCCCGCTCTCCCCCTTTCTATTCACTTTAGTAATGGACATCTTTAACTACCTCTTCAATAAGGCTATGCTCCTTAACTTGGTGAAAGGATTCGAACTGGGAAGGGACAAGATTCACATTTCACACTTACAGTTAGCTGATGACATAATTTTGTTCTTGGATGCCTCCATAACCAACATCACAAACACTAAAAGGATAATTGAATGTTTCAAACTTATCACTAGTTTGAGGGTTAACTTTTGCAAAAGTTCTATAGTAGCTCTTAACTTAGTGGAAGTGGAACTTCTGGAGAGCTTCAAACCTTTGTTGGGGTGTAAAGAGGAGAGTCTCCCCATCTCATATTTAGGGATGCCTCTTGGGGGGAATCCAAAATCTCTCAATTTCTGGAGACCAGTGGTGGAAAAATGTGAGAAGAAACTTTCATCTTGGAAGAAGTGTTATCTCT